ATTGCTTTGAATCACTAAATGTAAGGAGAAAGTAAAAGGAACGGGAATTTTTTCACGGCCTCAAATGATGTTCGTGCTGCAAAAAACTATTAAACAAATCGTAAAATTATCTCCTTTATGTTAGTGATATTCATACTTTAAATTTAGAGTGTTTTCGTCGAAACAATTCCTTTTATTTAATTTTTTCTTTATATTCCTTGACGTATATGGGCAGTATTGAACACATTGATCTCCAATAATTTTCAATTCAATTCCGCATGCCTAAAAATTACACAAAATTTCTAAAATGTACAACATTATATGTACTCGGAAAAAAGCATATCTTAGTTTTAAAAAAAAAATCATTCTTTTCACATTTTTCTTCAAATACTTCTTTACATGTAAGGGTGTTCTTGAGCGGATTAACAATCACTTTTTAACGATTCAAAGGTCTATCCTTAAATAGTCTAATTAATTATTATTGATTTTGTAAATGAAAGTAATTTTAATGATGAATAACTGTTTCTCTTAGATCTAAATAACTGCAAATTTGAAAAATTGTTTGGAAGATTTTACCTTTAACACAGGAAAACATACCGGTGTTCCATTCTGTATTTCATCACCGTAAATTATTGGAATGCTTATAATCTTTTTCATTTACTTTGACCTAAATCAGCGGTTTCCAACTGGCTGCCCGGGGGCCGCATCCAGCCCACGAAGCTTTTTTTTTGTGACCCACGAACTAAAATATATTAATTGTCATTTTTTTGCGGACAATTTTTGCAAAAAATCTATATGGGTTTTAAATACTTATCTTGTTAATAAAAACCTAATCTCTTCGTTTCTGTGAAATTTAACATACCAACGGTGCAAAAACATTTATTTCTCAGGTTTTGCTTCCAAGAAAATATTTATTCAAATACAAAAATGATCGTGTATGTTGCTCTTTTTTATTTCATTTTTTTGCATTTTGTGAATATAGTTTAGCATGTGTGTATCAGAAATTTTCTCGAAGAAATTCTCCGATTCAACTTTTTGGAACTACTCATTTTGGAGGAAAATATTTGCCCACACATTTGTAAATTTAAAATTTAAAATGTAAATATCTATTCTCCGGTGGTTGCAGCAGACAAACCTCAATTTTCTCATTGAACATTTTGTGTGCTACTAGGTAAGTGTTAATACCAACCTTTTTAAAGTTTTATATCTTAACAATTAGATACCTGTTGCACATTAATTGTTTAATACATAGGTGCACATTAAAGTTATTGTAGCCCGAATTTTTCAATATGAAATTAAATATTTTTAAAAATCTACTTCTTATTTTAATTTGTAATTCAATACTTTTGTTCTGTACAACTTGGTAAAAATCTGACTGTAATATTTAATGTTCCTTCAAACAAAAAAAAAGAGTCCTTCATAAAATTGTGATAAAGTTGCGGCCCGCCATTCGATTTTTGTTTTTAATTGTGGCCCCCGACCTCATGTAAGTTGGAAACCGCTGACCTAAATTAACACAAAATAATAAAAAGAATACGAAAAATATTTGTTTAATAAAAAATTCTACTTCAATCAAAACATTTGAGCAAAATTTTGTAACTCCTAAATTCGAGGATAATTCCTTATAAAAAGTTAATTATTAGCACTATTTAATTTTTTTTAATTAAATTAATTTAATTGACCTATTTTCGAAAAATTAAAATTTAAATAAAAATAAATGAATAAAAAATGAATTCTTATCATTATCATTGTTTCATTCGGGCATGAGAAAAAGGCGGCTATATTTAGTAAGATGACTACACTTGAAACGTATACATTATTAAAAGAAAAATAAAGTTAAAAGAAATTAATATAAGTGGAAAGGTCCTTACAAGCCATTGTTAATCTTTAGAAGTGAAATAAATCTTCGAAACGTGTTTGTGGTAGCGCCATCTACATATCGTTACTTGAAGTTGCAGTAGAAATGTCAATTACAATATTTGTAAGATTTTTAAAGCTATTTAATTGCTGGTTTAAAAATTTTTAGGCGTTTGAATTTATTTCTTCTTATTTATTTATTTTTATATAAATTTATCATACAATATATAGAAATGAGTATCCGTAGACTTTCATTTGCCAATTTTGAATGTAAAAGTAATGAAAACAGTACTTCCTGCACAACAGATATCGGATTCTGGCGAATTACTATAGACCGCTAATGTTTCTCAGAAAATAAAAGATTCAATTTGAATTAATTGAACCCAAACGTCACTGCAAATTACATAAACATAATAAATTAATAATTAACTTGGTATTAAAAAAACTGAGTGTGCAATCAATGCTAAAAATATTTTCAGAAAAAATATTTTCAAATATTTTTTGTTTTTAAATGCCTGAAGTCAATTTAAAAATCATATTTCAAACGCTACTTTTTCCCCAAGTTAATTATAGTCAATTGCGTATTTTTTTTTCAGTTTTTTTTTTTTTATTTTCTTTTTATTTTATGAAAAGATAAATATAATTTGGAAAATTGTAACATCACGAAAACTGAAAACAAGCTAAATAAATACCCTTAGGGGTATTTAGTCTTCAACTGAACAGAATAACAAACGTAAAGCAAAATTGAGCACGATAAATCGATAAACTTCCATAATATTCAAATTTGAAATAAAATTATCATGGTGTTAAAATTTTCTGATAACTTAACTGTGCTGAAGGTAGCGTAGAGTGTACAAAATCTTACAATTTCATACGGTAAACCATTTTGTCTTTTATAAAAGATCACTGAATCGATGTAAAGTGTTAGAAAGCACATTTGAATAATTAAAGAAAATTTTAAGAAGTTAACGTTACAAGCACTTATTACAACACACATACAACATTGCCAAACCAAAGAAATGAGACAGTAGTAAAAGCATTCTAAAAATTAAGCTGATAACATGTCCACTAATAAAAAAACCCACAAAGAATGAAAGAGAGAGAGGGAAATTACAAGCAAGGAAATAAAAAGAGCTGTTAAAAATTGGGTATATACGAGTAAAACGAGAGTGAAAAAAGGGAAATTGAAGGAACATAGCTCAAAAACAAATAAATAAATAATAAAAAAAAGAACATAAGCATGAAATCCTTAAAATAGGTGCTTCCAAGCAGTAAAAATATTAAACTTCCCTTTTCCATTTACAATTTTTCACTCATTAATAAAAATAATTTTTTAAAAAAAACTGTAAAAACTTCGTTTTAAAAGTAGGCACGTACGAAAAATACCTTTGCATGGCCTTACACGAAAAAATTCGGGCTCAATATCTTCGAGAAGAGTGAGAATTTTTTTCTTTTTTTTTTCTTTTTAGCTGCAAGCTTATTATATTGATCATGTTGAAAAATGATCGAAATTTCAGTTGGCAAAAAAATCGGATAGCACCATTCATGAAACACTTATAACTTGTATAAACATCGGGTCCAAATATCCAGACAAAATTTAAGCATTCCAGCCAAGTCATAAGTGGTAAAAATTTTGATTGACGATCAGTTTTATTTGCTCTAAATAAGTTTGAAAATTTTAAATTTTATCGACTGAAAATGAATAAAACTTATATTGTCATCCAGAGCACATCTCTAATTTAGAACTATTCGAAATTTCGATTAATGATAAGCTTTTTTTTTAATGATAAATTCTGCTTGAACTGCAATGATTAAAAATTATATTGTGTTCTGACATTGACTTTCAATGGAGATTCGAGATTTAAAGTTAATTCAAATTTTGGTTGACGATAAATTACCAACATATATAATATGGCTATTTGTCTTTCGTTTCAGGAAATGTTTCAAGAAATCACATTTGTAGCTTTTCAGACTATGATTAAACCTTGGATGGTCATTCAACACTGATCTCCAGCAAAGATTTGTGTGTTCTAGATGACCCTAAAGTGGATGAAATTTTGATAGAATAATTCCACCCTCAGGCACACGAAAGAGAATTAATAAAAAGATAATAAAATGGCTATATTCTATTAAAAATGTTCTTAGCTGCTTTTAACTTTAAAAAAACATCCTTTGCATCACCTCAAATCTCTAACTATTATTTTCATTGCTAGTTATTTTAACTCCTAATCATTGAAAGCCAGTTCCCTAAACAACACATTGCTTTAACTATCTGCTCAGGCTGTACGTAAGAAGACTAATAAATATTTAAACTGCTGATTAGTTATTATTATAACTGTTATTATCATATTTATTAACATTATAATTATTATTATTATTGCTGTTGTTGCTGTTGTTAATATTGCTTTATTTTCATTTAGATCTTCACACGAAAATTTTTCTCAATTATTGCTAGGATTGAATTCCTATTTAATTAAGTTCCGAACCTTTAAATTTAAACCTCCATGAAGTCGAGTGATTTTAATTTTATTTCATATGGGAACTTCCAAATTTGCAGAGAGCTTGAACTTAGAGTACATATAAGTTAAATGAAGAGTAATGTTTTCATTATATGTAAGATGTTTGTTTTCTATGAATGATATTTATTTTTTCACGGAAAATTGTACATAAAAGCAATTGTCTATTTAACAAAGTTAAATACATGTAGGGCGTAGGTGTTTTTTATTTACCTTGGCTGATTTTTTGTGGAAGTTTACAGTATCGTCAGAAAAAATAATTAAGAAAAGTCAGAAAAAATGAAATACAGTATCGTCAGTAAAATAAGTATGTAACTTTAGCTTTAGCTTACTCATTTTAAATATGAATTTCGTAAAAGCGTCAATTGAAAGAAATTGAAGAAACACATCACGTCTGTCTTATTGTGTTTTCTTTTAACTCTTTTCTATTCAAAAATTAAAAAATCCAACTTCATACTTAAAGACCTTACATAAAGTACAACTACAAACTTTAATAAGGAAATAAGCAACATATATCAAAAACAAAGAAAAGAACTGTCCTTCGTAAACGCGAAAAACCTTAATTAACATCGATAAACGATATTCTAAATAGTCACGATATTCTTTAAAGTGTTCATTGTTTAAACATATTACCAAGCAACTAAGTGTATTTATTTTTTTTTCGATAAAAAAAAGTAACCTTGACAACATCCTCAAATTGAAATCTCAAAGAAAGACGCACTTTTCTACCAGCTACATTATCGAACGGAAAGCATGGAAATCAGGTTTGACGGTAAAGTTGCTTTAGTAACAGGTGCCGGAAAAGGTAAAATTGCAGATTTTTTTTTTCTTTTCTGTTATCAAAATGTACTTTAAAGTAATGTAGGAAGATTAAAGTAATTTAAATATTAATTGATGAAATCTGAGAAATTTAAAATAAGTCTTACATCGAGCAAATTTTTAGCTTATTTTAAAAATATTTTTACCCATTGCATTCGAAAACTTGTAACAATGTTGGTGTTTCATATTTTAAAAACAATTATAGATATTAGTTGCTTCACTTTCGGTACATCATCCATTAATTCCATTTTACCGTAAATCCATTTTTACTATAAAATGGTACAGTGTAATTTTTAAACTAAAATTTTTTACTTAGATTGCTTTAGTGATTTTACGGTAATTATTACTGTAAAAATTATCGTATATCAGATTTTTCGTAAGAAAAGATTTTGCGGTAAAAAGCATCGGCATCCTAAGTGCCGATAAGTGCCTCTTTTTCCGTAATTTGATCCGGAAATTTTTACAGTATGGGTGAAAATAAGGAAATTTTTTAGATATATTAAGACTCTTTTCATTAAATAAATCATAAAGTGAATCTTACAAAACGATTAAAATTTAAGTAAATAACTTATACTGTGATTAGACTGTATAACTTATACTGTGATTAGACTGTTAAGTAGATATATAAAAAAATAATCAAAGCAAAAGGAATTATATAGGAAGGAAATTTGATAAATAAATTTAACAGGATGAACAGTTACAATCAGCAACAGGCAGCTTGTAATTAATAGGGTCATTACAGTATGATATTATTCACAGTATGATACAGTATTATTTCACCATGAATAGGTTTTAATGACCCGTCATGGAATATTTGGATTTAAAGTGCCTTGATGAAAATGATGACATTTATAAAAATTTTGATATATTAAATTTTGATTTTAAATAAAAAGTCAATTTTGATTCAATTTTAAATAATTTTTATTAGTAGTTTTGTTGTTATGTTTTTCTTAACTGTATCTCTTTACATTTGAAATCAATCTGTCATGGAAGTATGCTTATCTTTTCATATTTAGGAATCGGGAGAGACATAACAATTAAATTAGCGGAATGCGGTGCTGAAGTCATAGCTATAAGTAGAACACAATCAGATTTGGATGAGCTAGCAGAAATTGTAAGTGTTATTTTCGAATAAGTTTTAATACCTGAACTTATATTACTAAAGTAATAATATAATTTATTCCAATCACATATTATAGGCAACTATGTACGAAAAATTGACAAACTGAGTCGAAATTTAACATATTTGCTTTATGTCCATACTGAATTTAATCTTTAAGTGTTCAATTTGTATTTTATTGTATTTTTCAAACAAATTGCTTACATAAGTTAGGATTTTATTTTTAGCAGTGAAAACAAAGGCTGTAGAAGAATCTTTAAAATTTACAAAATTTTTTTCAAAAATAGTGTTTAGATCCTCAGACAGGAAAAAAACATTATAATAGCTTTTTTGAGAATATTTCAATTCTTAAAGGAATTGATAGAGAACTAAACAATAAATATATTTTTATCTATTTAATATATATTTATATACATTAAATATGTATTTATATGCATCAAATATATTTGTATATTTCGAATATATTTGTATCAAATATATTTGTATATTTGTGTATTTACCAGAAATAAAATTTGATATGCTTAATTAAATTTTAAAGCATACACATAATAGTTAATAATAGTTAGTTAACAATTAATAATAGTTAGTTAATAATTAATAATAGTTAGTTAGTAGTTTATAGTTAATAGTTTTTGCTTCTAGTAGAATCAAGATTAATTTTTTTCTCTTCAAATAAACAATTGATATATCTAATTCTAAGATAATTTCTTTCGATTTTTCACTGTAGCTATTAAATTGAAAGTAATACATCTTTTTTAGCTGAATCACTATTTCATTCTTTCATTTTTTTACGATTTTATTTTTGGGTTAGTTGCTTTTAATATTCATATTAAATTAACTATAAAAAATGCATTTAATGTTCTATTAAATAAAACTCTTTAAATGCAAATTAAAATAAAAATTCTAATACTACTTTATATTTGTAATTGTTTCTTAAAAAATCCGATTTTTTTTTCTTAATACGAAGTTAGTCTAACCATAGATAGTATACACTCCAAGAATAAGTATAAATTTTATACTTTTTTTATAAAGATGTATTTCTATCGGTAGAATTTTTTTGATCATCAATTTGTCCCCCTAAATCTTCAAAATTTAAGTTGGCATTTGTACCTTTATTTAAGTCTCATAAATCTAAAATATTTGAAAAACGTAGAAGTTTTAGGTTTAAAAACATGCTCTGAACGGATGCCAGAAAAGAATAAGTGTACAATTCTTTAAGAGAATTCGTATTCAATCAAAAAAAAATGGTTAGAAGCAGCATATACAAACTCGGTCTTAGACTACTAAGTGTAGTTCATAAAAAATAGGATGATGCTATTAAATCATAACCAACTTAATTTATTTTATTTTATAACTGTCGTTAGACAGCCGACCAATTTTTCGGTTTACGACTACTAATGTTCAACTCTGTAGCTTAGTCATTTTGAACCAGAGGACAAGGGAACTTCTGTATCAAGTTTTGGAAGAAATTTTCCTCCGTGGAGGACTTTTTTTATTTAATTGACCCGCATTTTGAGAGGAAGACCGCGAGAACCTCCCACGGTTAGCCTGACGACAAAGGAACTCTAACCCATGATCTGTCTGCCACTGAGGATATCAGCTCTGTGGTGGGTTCAAGCCGGATGCGGATCCGTATCGAACAGGCATCGCTGGAATTCGAACCCGGTTCAGATGATTGGAAGGCGAACGCGCTGTCACCTGAGACATCGCTGCACTGATCAGCTTAACTGGAAAAAGGGTTTTTTACGAAATTTAGTTACTGTTGTGACGAAAAGAATTAACTTACGTTTCATAAACTGGATGGCATTATTTTCTACGCATACAAGAATAGAATGATAATGACCAACCATCTGTTAGTTCATGCATTCCGTTTCTGAAAGTGACCTCCAATGGCAGGACGCAAAGAATCACTCGTTGTAGATTGCCCGTAGCTAGTGAGCTAGGTTAATGATCATAGGTATTTTGAAAAGTTAGCAAAATCCAGAAAAGCAATCAAATAGAATGTCCAGGAAAACTTTTCTATTGAACAGGACAACGCTAGATCACGTAAAACAGAAGCAATTTCAGCAAAAATTCTACCTACCATATTCCCCTCTCCATGCGTTTCTACATCTTCTATGAAATGCACTGCATCAGCATCGGTTTCAAACGTGCGACGAGGTCAAGTACGCAACTGTCCTAACAGCAACCAATGGTTCAGTACGATATTTCGTCTAGTGTTACACACGCCAAAACAATAGTAGACAATAGAGTTTCGTTAAATAAATTGCATGAAATAGCTTCTGACTCGTTATTTATTGACTGTACTTAATATTCTATAATCATTTCATTATAATATGCTTTTGATTATTTGTTCATAAAAATACGTTGCTTTACTTAAAATATCTAAAACTTTCTTTTAACTGTTAATTCAGTGTCCCAATATTCGGCCAGTTTGTCTCGATGTTGGTGATTGGGAACAAACCAAAGCAGTGATAAGCGAACTAGGACCTGTTGACTTGCTGGTAAACAATGCCGCTATCGGTAAAGGTCAACCGCTCGGAGAAGTTGACGAAGAGTTTATCAACAGGTTTAAAAACTTCAAATTTATATTCTATTTTTATTAATAATAAAGGTGTAATGCTCCTAATATGAAGTTCTCTTTTGAAAATTAAAAAATATTAGGACAATAAAATTAAAATATACCAATTATTATAATGGTTACCATTATTGCGCCCTATGTAGCACATATGATCAGTGTAAGTCATTAAGGATCGTCAAAATATAAATATTAAATACGTAAGGTATAATTATTGCAATCTTGTTCCATTGTTATTTAATGATAATTTTTGACAAAAAAACTTATAAAATATAGAAATACTCCTTTGCTTTGAACTAAAAATAATTCATTTCAATAACGAATTTAAGAACTCAACATAAATCAATTTTTCCAAACATTTGAGCCTAAAGCATCCTTCAGTTTTCTTAGTGTCACCTTGACATAACCTTCACATTTGTTTTAGATTGTTTTTGGTTTAGTCCACCATCTTCTTCAGCCTCAGTAATTGCATCGCATATAAGGAAATTAATTCATATTAGGCACTTTTTTTTCTTTTAAAATATATTTCCTAAGGGGGACAAAATTAATCTTATTAACAATAACTACAATCCTTAAGAGCTCTATTAAAATTGTCATTCTAATTTATATTAATTAATTACTATCATTTCCGAAATCGCATGTTCTTCAAAAAGAAACTAAAAATCACACGATTTTTATATAGGTCGCACATTAAATAACGTAACATGCTTAGAGCTTTATAACACGTGGTGAAATGAACGGAATGTGAAATAAGGATGCAGTTTCAATTTCTGGATAAAAATATGCTCTAAAATTCCCCACAGGAGGAAATTTGGCTCTTCAAGCGTAATATTAAATTATTAGATCATCAGAACAGCAGGGCCATATTTTGTTACATTTATAAATAATTAGTAACATTTGTAAATAACAATAAATTCTGAGTTTTATTATAAAAAAGGTTCTTTATTTCTTCAAAAGTATTCATTTATTGCTGAAGAAATGTACTTAAAGTTCCAAAATCCCAACTTCCATGGTGGCTTCTATTCTGAACCTTTCATCTTTCAGTAAGCGCCTGCACTCAACTATTGGAATTTCCATTCTAAAATTACGGTAAAAATAACCAGCAGTAGTCTGTCCATTCAATTAACCGTAAAGTTTACGGCAACGATAATTTTTTTACCTTTACGATTTCGAAATCGTTTACAACTAACATAGTTTAAAAAAAAGACAAAATAAAATTTAACAAACAAAAACAAAATGTAACAAAAATTCATCAATTTCATGAATTAGAAAAATTTAGATCTAAATAATAATAACACAATTTTAAAAAAAATATCCATTAATCACATGTTTTTCATTCATAATAATTATATTGTTTACACAAATAATAATTCTTTTTCTATATTTTCAGCCTGTTAGATGTAAATTTCAAGTCCATTGTAAATATCAGCCAAGTAAGTAGCTTCCATTTGATATTGAAACTGTGGTATTTTGCTAAACAATCGATTTTATTTTAAGTAACAAGCAAAAGGAATAGAAGTTTTTAATAAATTTTCAAATTAAAGTTTAAAAAAATATAAATAAATCAAAGTGTTCAGTTACGGCAATATTTATGCCTAAAATCCTAATTTTATTTTATTCCCCAAAAATGAGCATTGATTTAAAAACTATAAAAATAAGAAGAATGGAAGAAAAGAGAAATTTACTATTCGTTGAGATCTGCTTAGGAAACTAAGAGTTCTTTTGCAAATATATCTAAATTAAATACAAAATCAGTCGAAAGATGGCGTTAGAAACAAAACTTCTCTGTATGTCAAACCATTCCCAATGTGTTTTTTGCATGAGTATCTGTCTCCTCAAAATGCAGCCCACTATAGCAAATAGTGTGATTTTTAAAACATTTTATAGACAGCTATTGACGAACTATGACGTTAATTTTGAGACTTGGTGAGAGGAAACCTTGTTTTTTATGTAGTAAATCGAACAATTCTATCGCCTTGCATTTTTTTAATTGTTTTTTTTTTTTTTTTTAATCGTCTCCTATTTTTGGAGCACTCTGTAATAAATGCTTGTAAAAAAGTGTGAACCTATTTAGTATCACAATTTTCTTGTGCCATTATGCCTTTCTTAGTGCTATAATTTTAGCTCCACAACTTTAACTCGATTAGTGCTGTAAATCTATGCGCAGATGTAAATTTAAAAACGTCGAATTAAGAAATAAGCTTGAAGCAGAATAACCTGCATGAATTACAATAGACTGTATTTCAGGAGGTCTTTAAAGGGATGAAAGAGAAAGGTAAAGGTGGATCGATTGTGAATATATCTAGTTTGTCCAGCATAAGGGGTTTTCCTAATTACGGGGTTTATGGAGCTACTAAAGCTGCCACTGATTCCTTAACGAGGAACATGGCTGTGGAATTTGGACCATACGGGGTGAGTAATATCTATCATCACGCATTCAAGACATGTATACATTATATTTTAAACAATTCTATATTTTATTGAGATATTTCATATTTTATGTGTTTTATATGTTCATAAATTAAATATTTTACTTATTTAATAAATTTTGCTTAAATAATTTAACAAAGATCTTATTTATAAAAAAAAATTTGTTGCATTTATTCAACTAGCCTTATTCGTACATGGGAATTTCAAATCTAAAATTAGTTTTGCTCCTAATCCTTTTTGTTTTTAAAAGCTAACGTTTTTTGTCTATTTTTGCTTAAATGTTATAGTCTAAGTTATAATGTTAATGTTATAATGTAATGTAAATGCTATAGGTACGTTTTTAGTCTATTTTGTTAGTTTATTTTAGTTTAAAAACGTCATACATAGCAGAGAGTTACATAAAGATTGCGCTTCTAGCGGAGGAAAACGACATTTCCGGGCTTCGGTTCTTATGCAATTTTAATCCTAATGTTGTTCCATTACTCCCCAAGAAGTTGTTGCGCGTCTCTCTGTTATATGCAACGTTTTTAACTTGTGCATTTATACAAAAAAAGGTATAAAAATGTAATATAAAGATAAACTATAGCTTGGAGAAAGAAACTGATTGTAAATTTGAAATAAGAGATACGAAAGTAATCAACTTTTGTTTAAAAAAAAATCTCACGTAACAGAAAGCATAAAAAAATTCTCCATTTATAGAAGAATTATAACTAAGGCCCGGATTTTGATGACATTTGCATTTTTTTTTGCATTTTTTGAATTTTTGGACATTTTTTGTCCTTTAGAGCATTTTTTGAGATTTATAGGGCATTTTCTTTAAAATTTTGGGGCGTATTTTGCATTTTAAAGCATTTTTTAAATTTTTTGTTAAATTTTTCTAATTTTTATTATTTTTTATAATTTTTTATTATTACACTGGCTTCCAAACAATGAAGAAAATTTCTAGGATATTAACAAGTGAAGCAGCATCTTTTCAAATTGAAGAAGAATTGTCAGTAAGTGTGACCGTCCTTTTCAAGTACGCACCAATAACATCAGTAGACGTTGAAAAAAGCTTCTCCTGGTGTAAAAATTTGCTTTCAGACAAGAGACGCTCGTTTACATTTCAAAATATTAAAAAAAAAACTAATAATCCACTGTAATTCTGATATTTTGTAATATTATGCGATGGAAGTTGCTATATTCATTTCAGTTTCTATACAAAATGAAAATGTTTTGGAGTCAATATATTTTCCTTTTTTTTGTTATTTTTGAATATAAAACATATTTGTCAAACTTTAATGAACGTAGAACAAGTATTGCATTGCTTTATATTTTTTGAAACGACTCATAATAATTTTAAAGAGTAAAACATTGTTTTAGTTCAATATTTTTACTTCTATTTAAGTCATGTCATAAGGCATTTTTAGCGCAATTTTCGTATTTTGAGGGCATTTTTTGCACTTTTAAGGGCATTTTTTGCAGTTCATAAGGGCATTTTTGGCACTTTTTAAGGGCATTAATTGAAATTTTTTAGGTCATCAAAATCCGGGCTCTAATTATAACTATAAAACACATTTAAAATGGAAAGCGTTTAGTAATTTTCAATATTAGTCTTTGTTTCTTAATAAAAGACGGTATTTTGAGACTTCATAAAGCTACATCTTGATATACAGAATAAATTTGCAAGTCGTGCGAAATTTCAAAGCCTAACATACATCTTATTGAATATACTCCTACATTCAGGATTAAGGAAATTTCCAGCGGAATTTATTCCTTAATCCTTGATCATTGCAAATGTACATAAAGAAATTTTTATTGAGTGTGATATGTAATATAATTTCATTGAATAAATTTCACTTCTTATTGAAAGGAAACCTGAATAAATATTAATTAAATTAATTTAATGAAATTAATTTTTTAATAATTAATAATTTTTTAAAAAATTTATTTTTAATAAAATTAATTTATTAATAGGAAGAAAATACATCTAGTCAAATTAATTTATTAATAAGAAGAAAGTACATCTAGTCAAATTAATTACTGCGAGACTTGGACTTGAAAGGAAATTAAAAATTTTATCATGAACTAACTCATATTTTGTTCTTAAGCTTATTTGTTATAATCCAACAAATATTTCCTTTAGTAAAAATTATTTCTTTATTATTAAACACCGTCTTCATGTAAACACAAAGTTGTGATGTACACACCTTCATAAAAAATATTAAATTAAACAATGTAAAAAAATTTATTTATTAAAGTATCCAAATTGCGATTTCATGTACAGCTTTTTATAGCTTTAAGAATTATACTGTTAATTTTTCAGGTTAGAGTGAATTCTGTCAACCCAACCTTCGTGCGTACAAAAATGGCAGAAGAACTTTTAAATTCTGGAGATCCACTTATCACAGCAATGAAAGAAAGAGCTCCTCTTCGAAGATTTGATGGTATGAATATTTAATATATAATACGAAAAAGAAAAGAAATTTTCTAATAACGAGCTGAGAAAAAAGCACGAGGAAAACTACCATAATGTGGTAAAATATATCAAGTTTCTAGTTCAACGAGAAAGCCAAAAGGCTTGTAATTTTTTACTATCGCACTTTTGTGATGATTTTGGCAAAATTAACAATAAAATATAGTTTTATAATATGCGAAAAAATATGGTAATTTTATTATGATCTCTGAAAGCATGGCATAAAAAAAAATTATTCGATTAAATGTATTTTTCAGTTTTTTTATTTTTTACTAAAAGTATAAGAACTATAATTTTGTAATAAGAACTATAATTTTGAAAACAAAACTTTCCAGTAAACCGTTACCATATCAACAAGGAATATAAGAAAAATGAATGGTTTAAATACCGTAAAATTTGACTTACAACCAATTTTACCAGAAATATCAGTACTATGCATGCGGTAATTTAACCAGAATTTTTCTCCGTGCATAATGTGTCATAATATAACGAATTTCGCAATACATTTCGCAATATTATAACATTTTACATACTACTGTAACTTATATAATTAGAAACGACTGATTCGATTATAATGGATATATTTATTCGGAAAAAATACGCTCTTGTGCTTGATTTCGTAACTTAAAATATAGACTGCACTAGTTAATTATCATATTTGAGGTCAGGCTCTCAAACCTTCAGTTTTAGTATCTTATTTTATTTTATAACCGTCGTTGAACAGCCGACCCAATTTTTGGGTTTATGACTACTAAAATTCAACTACGTAGCCTGGTAATTTTGAACCCAATCCAGAAGACAAGGGAACTCCTGGATCAAGTATTGGAAAGAATTTGCCTTTGAGGGGGACTTTTGGATGGAACTAAACCGCGTTTGCGTTACATACAGAGGAAGATCACGAGAAACTCACGCGGTTAGCTTGACGGCAAGGGGACTCTAATCAATGATCCATCTACCACTGAGGATATTTCACGTCATCACTGTGGTTGGTGCAAACCGGGTGCGTAATTCGTATCGACCAGTCATCGCCGGGATTCGTACCCGGTTCACCTCCTTGGAAGGCGAACGCTCTATTACCTGAGCCATCGCGTCGCTTCATTTCAGTGTGTACAAATCCAGTCATTAGCTTGAACGTTATTCATTCTGCTTTATATATATATAACTCCTACATTCAG